CTGTAAAAAATATATTTTGATTAATCAAACCAAGTGATTATTCACTATGTGATTTAATCCAAAGGTATGTTTAACACTTTTGTGAACCTTGCACGCTTTCGAATGAATAAAAGCATGCTATGAATAGAAAAATAAACAAAACATTGATAAATCCCGATTACTATATGAGAATAAATATTTTGAGGTACAAATTTTAAAGAATTATGTTGTATACAGTTGTTTAAAAGACAATTAAAGAAAAACTTTCTACAACCAAGTAGAAACAGATCAATTTTTCTCGAAAGAACTTTTTATTTTAAACATTCGTGAGCTCTATTTACTACTTACTAGTTGTTCACAAATACAGATAAAAATCTAAAAACAGGAAAACAACGATACACTGAATTAGACCTACAGATTACAGTGAGAAAAAACGAGGAAGACTTTTGACGAACAAATTCTCGACATGAAAATATGTCTTAGTATGTAGGTTACTCGTCCTACGACCAATTACGAATCGGCTGTTAGATCTAGTTTATAGGCATAGTATATTAATTTAACCTCTTTCCTTTATGCTTCATTTAAAAATGTATATGTATTATTCAAACATCAGCAATTATTCTTTTTATACTGTTCTACTAAGAAATAAGTACATATTGATAAGTTCTCTGAAATCTAAAGATTCACTCGCTAAAAAGGGCGTACACAAACAGATTTTAGAACGCTGCATCACTGGGTAAAAAATTACTATTTTTGCAATTTGGCCTTTATTTGAGTTCTATAAAATTTCCGCATTTCGAAATTCTAATTTAGGTAGATGTACATGTACACAAGTTGAGCTATTTGTCACATTTATTTATTTCAACAGATAAATATTGGTACAAGGGGCACCAAATATATATGCGCCACACACAAAAAATTAGGAATTTAAAGAGAAGGGAAGAAAAAAAAGAAACAATAACGACCAGATTAGTGTAAGGTAGTGTAATAGTAATAATAATGGGGGAAACGAAAAGGTACAATCAGAAGAAATCTTACAGTTAAGGAAAAAGCAACCAATTTTTACGAAAGCAAAAGAAGGTTATAGAAGGATCGCCATTGGCTTCTATTCTGAGCCATATCTGATAACTTCTCTAGCCACTGTGTTACACCATCTCTCCACCTCAGACAGGGAGTCGTGAAGGACCAACACAAGCCAGCCCTTTGCAGCTTTCGTTCATACCACGACACCATGTCATACACTAACCATCTCTCCGCATTTTACAACCAGTCCCAGCGTCGTCAAGTAATGCACGACGAGGAATTCTCTGGGATGACATTCGTAGAACATGTCCAAGCCACCGAAGTCGGTGTTTCAAGATGGTGACACCAATTGAGGTATCGTCTCTGTGCCCGAACACACGATGCCGAACCTCTGCATTACTAACATGGTGTTGCCACTGGATGTCAGCAATCCTTCGGAGACAGTGATGATCGAACACAAAGAGTCACCTAACGTCCTCAACTCGGAGAGGCCAGGTTTCACAAGCATAGAGCAAAACTGCTCTCACCGACGCGTTGTAGATCGGAACTTTTACAGCCAGACTAACATCACGAAGGCGCCAAAGATGGCCCAGATCGGCATAAGCCGCTCTGGCTTTCACCATACGTGCATTGATCTCATCACTCACGCAACCACCAGCACTTACTTATGCAGCTACCTAGATACACGAACTTCTCGACTACTTCTATCTGCTCACCATCCAGAGTGAGTACGGGATTAGAATCCTGCCAGTCTTGTAGAAGTAATTTGCACTTCGAAGGTGCAAACCACATACCATACCTACGGACATTGATTGCCAACTGATTAAGCGCGGATTGCATGGCTTGGGTATTATCGCACGGTAGGACAATATCATCCGCATACTCAAGATTGAGAAGTCCCTCCCCAGGCAACAGATCCACACCGCCATTACTTGCATCCATCAGAGCTGTTTCCAGAACGTCATCGATAGCAAGTTGAAGAGGAATGGTGAGATTGGGCAACCCTATCTAACCCCACTGCTCGAATGGAACAATGGAGAAAGGTGGTTGTATGCCCTCACTCTGCCTGAGGTGTTTGTATATAGGGCCTTTAGGATGTTAATAAACTTCTCAGGCACACTCTTCTTCAATAGACAATCCCAGAGAACAGTTCTGTCCAACGAATCGAAGGCAGCCCTGATGTCGAGAAACACGACGATTGCTGGCCTTTAATAAGTATGGCGGTGTTTTAACATTTGGCGGAGGGTGAAGATATGATCAATACATCCTCAATCAGAACGAAACCCAGCCTGCTCCTAGCGAGTCAATCCTTCTCGGGTTTTGAACAACCTACGAAGTATGACGGAAGCCAATATTTTGGACGCAATCGGAAGTAGACTTATCCCCCGATATTTGTTATAGGAACGACGTGAACCCTTTCTAAAGATAGGGACAACTATCGACTCATTCCATGACGTTGGTACACTCTCTAGTTCACAGACCTTTGTAAACAACGCCGTCAGTTCCCTAGCCAGAAAATCACCACCATCTCTAAAAAGAGTCGGAGGTAAGGCATCCGGGCCCGGTGATTTGTAGCGCTTCAAGAGTTGGAGTTCCTTGCGGACTTCCGCCTCATTTGATGGATCAGTCGTCACCGGCCGTGGAGGGCAGGACAGTCTGACCGATGTTGCCGGAGCAGTAGGCCAGTTGAACTGCCCTTCGTCCAAGACGTCGATGGATATTAGTGATTGGCATCCCGTCATCCTCGCAGATTGTTTCGCTCACATCAGACTTCTTGCTGCCAGTGGCTAGGATGAGTTGGAAGAGCCTCCAGTAATTACCAGATGCAGCTGCTGCTTCCAGCTCATTAGCACGCTCCGACCACCAGGCTTCTCGGTCCTTACGCAAGCTTTGCCCAATTTCAATACGTAACATCCTTCGTTTGTGGTCAAACTCACGGTCAACCGGAGTAGACTGACGGGCTTCAATGAGTTGTAAGGAGCCTGAAGAATCCCAGTGCTTGTAAACGGGACGTTTCGCGAACCTACAAGTGACTTTACTCGCCATTTTCATGGCGTCATGCAATTGCAACCAATGCTCATATATACTTTTCGGTGGAATGGTAGCTAGCCTAGAAGCTAGCTCGGTTCGATACTTACTAGCAACAGAAGTTGCAACCAACTTGCTAACATCAATCCTTTGGTGGCGGTCACTTCGTTGGCCACTGAAAAGTAAGGTAAGATTGGCGCAGACCAGAGCATGATCAGAGTCCAGATAGGCACTCTAAAAGGAGCGGCAGTCTTGTACACAACCACGCCAGCGGTAGATGATCGTGGTGTGATCAATCTGAGTCCAGGCTTGAGATGTAGAAGGAGGACGCCAGGTGGCATATCGGCGATGACTGCCGAAAGTTAGTGCTAGCCAGAAACAGGTTGTGGTCTGTGCACAGTTGCAGTAGACGTTCCCCGTCACCTGTCCTGCGACCAACAAGTCACCATCGACCACCTAAACGACTCTCTTCTGTGCCTAAACGCCCGACCTGAGCATTCAAGTCTCCGGCTAGTACTACAATATCTGTTGAACGCACTTTCCGGAGAAGAACAGTTAACTGGTGGTAAAATTCATCCTTGATTACATCCGGGCTGCAATCTGTCGGGGCATATGCGAAGATGACGAAAAGACATCGTTTCTCACGCCGATTTCTTCTCACTTTGATGGAACTTTCTAATCTAACAGCCCATAACCAACTGTTAATGGGGATACAGTCGACTAGTGATGCCTCAGCTCTGGCGCTTAGTGCGACACCAAAGCCAGCAAGACCAGATGAAGATGCCACAGGGTCCCCGGATAAACGCACGTAAAACAAGCTTTTTAGAGTGACAAATGGAGAGCGAATTTGTAGTACTTCACTAGAGTCTTGAATATGGATCTCTGATAGACAACAAACGTCAATATTAAGACTTTCCAAAAACATAGCCAGCCTTATCTGTTGTCCGACCTGCATAAGTGTGCGAACGTTGAAGGCAACCAGTTTGAATGGTGCACGTGGTTTCACAAATACTGCTTCACTACTCGTATTCGGTGGTAACATACAATTTTCAACCAGGCAGTGACTCGAGAACGTTTAGATAGAGCCGAATTTTCACCATAGGCGAGCTGCTGTACAAGTCGGAAAATAAGGATAGATAGAGTAGGAATAAAAGGGAGTGAATAAATGACGCAGTAAATAATAATAATAACAATAATAGTAATAATAATAATAATGCGAGTCATTTCATTGTTAGTCGGGGCGAAGAGAATTTTTCATAAGTAGGCAGTTCATCATGTTTTCGTGTGTGGGCTGAGATACTGCCCGGGTGCCCAGACCGAAGCAGATGTATTTCTTAGGAAGCCACATCCGGAACCTTTGACCTAAAGGTTCAACCCACAAGGCAGTGGAGCATCGTAAGGAGATGCAGTCCCATGGAAGCCGGTGACCAAGAAATTGGTTCATACGCCATTTGTTCACGCAGGATACTGGAGCCCATGTGCACCATTGATTTGGGATCCGGTTAAAGCGCCAGACATTCGCTTTTCGTCCTCTCATTTTCGTAAACAACACCCCCGCCACGAGAAGGCAGTGAGTAGGACTTCCCTGCCAGAGGCTGTATGCGCGTGGCCGTGTGAGAGTATTACAATCTGATTAATTTGTATTACACCAAGTTTGCAGACCTTTTTTTTCAAAATAACTGTTTTAACGATAACACCTTTTAAAGTTAGTTTTGAGTAAAACTATAACCGATCCGAGGAAATATATGACTACAGATGATTGATGCAGAGTTACACTTAAGTTATGACATCGTTTCAAAGTAGTTTCGATACAAGATAAAAGACAACTACGATCTGAACACGACTTGTATCTGTGTACCATGAAGCGGGTTTCTCACGATGAATGGAAATTAGTACAGATCCATAAGTATAAAATACAAATGACCAAATATATCCACTCAATAAATGATCTAAACCTCGACAAAACTTACGTAATTGCTCCCAACAGGAATGTAGTCGCATGGCTTAATATATTTGGAATATGATCAAGCAACCAACCAATGAAACGCGATTTCATAAAAGCCGAGTTGCGTAGATACCACGAGCCGTTAATTGGAGATAAGCAATTAGGAGGACCGGATACGCTTTCTTTGGAATCATTTGTCTGACATGCCAGTGCAGTATACCTTAAAAATTCGTAAAATACTAGTCATTGATGATCAATTCACGATTATGAGCATGCAACTCAATAACAACGAAGGAGTTGGATGTTAAGTGTACTTAATGTGTAGTGGCTAAGGATAAGGATTAGTTTAAAACTGATCATTAAGTAAGATTCAAATTTCTTTTTTCTCAATCGGAATCAAGTGCTAAGAACAATAAGTTAGTTCAGTAACTGAAAAGAAGAACTTGTGATTATTAATTAGCAAACAAAAGGGCATTGAAAATTAAGTTAATGAGAAAGTCAACTTTTAAAAGATTATCTAACATCTTAATGACATTTTTCTATCGATATTAAACAGCGCGTTTTAATAATACGCTTTTTGATATAAAAATAGTCACTTTAAATAATGTATACATCGAAAGCATGATTGTGACGGAAATTTGGGTGTTTTCATCTATTTTTTTAAATGAATAACAACGATCTAAAAAGTATCACTAGCAAATTCAATCACATGTAAACTTAGGCTTATATATTCATGAGCAACATGATGAAGCAATAACACATGTTTGTGTGCATTGCTTATGTATGTATATGGATCGATTACCTGTGCATACTTTACAAGAAGTATTATTGACATATCACTCCAAAGAAAAATAATAGTTCGTCGATCACAGAAAAATGCGTTGTAGTTAAGGATTAATTGGGTTCACACATAAGCGTTAATTATTAGTAGCTACTAGTACACAAATAAAAATCACAATTTAATGACTATAGATCAACATTATAGACTAACTACTTTCATATTTAATTCATGTCTAGAATATGTATTAACTATGGCATCCAGAGCTGATGGAAACAGTCTCTACTTGATTCTAACATAATGTTAGATCATAAATTTTAATTACATTGGATGACTAGAATGTGACAATCACAAAGACAAACGGTGAAAAGTTGTCTAAAATGTTGTAGGCCATATATAACATTTAATGGTACTAAATGGATCAATGGACTACAAACACGACCGTTTACCAAGATACATTTAACAGCGATAACACAGTGCAGCCCAACTTGTCATTATTGAAAAGACAAGGTCTATGTTTCACCAAAAGCCCAAACAGCACGTAAGCGATTGTGTCACATCCCATTGTGTCTATCAATTTACATGTATGTGTGGAAACACGTACATAGGGAGGAGCAATCGTGATTTGCAATTAAGGATGGGTGAACACATACCAAAATGGTTGCAAAAACAAATGGATTCCAATGGTCAAATAAGATCACAGGATAGACAGACATCATCCTCCATTGCGAAACATTTGATTGAGACGGGTCATAAGGTCGACATCAAATCAGCATTTGTAGTGTTATACAAAAGCCTTCAAGGACGTATACTAAGGTTTATTGAAGCCTTGGCTATACGGAAACTAAAACCCCCTTTATGTGTTCAAAAACAATTTGTCCTTACACTAAACCTACCCTGGTAATACTGATTTATTATCCAGAGTGGTAATCACATTTGTTTTTTTTTGTACTTTAATATTTTTCCTTTGTCATGACTTACCCTTAACCTGTCTAGTTGACCTTTTATTTTTATATATAAATGCTCTTAACAAGTATATGTGTGATCAGATTGTTCGAAATGTATTGCGCTAATATATCACATAATTCTGATAAACTTCGTCTTCTCATTGCATTATCAAAATTTATCAAAGGGACTAACTGTTTTAAATTTCTGAAAACAAACTAATGTCTTTGGCTACGCCAAATCCTACTTACAAAAATACGGATTGATGAGTAACTTGATGAATGACAAATATCACGTATACAGTATGTAAGAAGTTGATTTCTTCCAAGCTTTATAAGGTGGGATAAAACGTTAAAACCACGGAATATATTGACTTACGCTCCAATTTCAGGTCGACTAGCCCATTCTCCAGAGCTTGTAACTGGAAAATCAGTTGGAAAACTCGCAGTAGGGAATTTGGCCATACTTATATTTTGATAAGTAGAGTGAGATTGTTCGGATGTATCACCACTGTGAAGTTCGTCGTGTGATAATGGGCTAGGCAGAGAACCATCGCTGGTTCTGTCTGAATGTTCTTGGGCTTCTGAGAGGAAGAGAGTTAGTAATCTTTCTTCAACTATGGTATGGAGACCCCCAGGTTCCTGGAAACCTAGTGTCTGTGACTTAATACTGAGAACATGGATACCTGAATAACTAGAACCATTTTGGTTGTAACCCAAACTTTGTGGAGTGACTTCTATCCAGGAATCTATCCAAAACACAGAGATAAGTACATAGTTAACGTTATTATTATTACTGAGTGAACTTTATGAAAAAGACTGAATTTCCTTGACACTTTCAATGTATCAGTAAACAGAACTAATTAGGGTAAAAAATCTATAAAGTAGTATAGTATTTACACATCAATAAGCAGTAACGATTTTTGCGAAAGCAAAATGAGATGTAATCACTGACCATCTACTTACTAACTATATCTCAGTAAGACTAGAATACTATGAAAAAGTTCGGAGTGTTTATTCCGTCAATGTGAATTTAGTAAGGAAAAAAGTAAAAATAGACATCCAAAGGTACGATAGGTTTTTATTAACTCGTGTTCCAACATACTTTCCACTCTAATTTAAAATGATACCTTGAATTGTTGCGTGACCAGAAACGGGAAAAAAATTGATTATTTACTATTGACTTATTTCACTAAAAAATTAATAAGGTAACACACAAGGTACTTGGGTATAAGCTACTATTATTTATTTATTATTTATTTTAACACATAAATATTGGTACAAGGAGGCACCAAATACACATGCGCTACACAGATCTCATTTGATATGTGTGAGGGCTGTGATACTGCCTGGGTGCCCAAACCGAAGCAGGTGGCTTTCTTAGGGGGCCACACCCCGAGCCTTCGACCTGAAGATCTGATCCACAAGGCAGTGAAGCATATTAAGGAGATGCAGTCTCATGGTAGCCAGTGACCAACAATTGGTTCATACGCCATTCGTTCACGCAGGATACTGGAGCCCATGTGCACCATTGGTTTGAGATCCGGTTAAAGCGCCAGACATTCGCTTTTCGTCCTCTCATTTTCGTAAACAACACCCCCGCCACGAGAAGGCAGTGAGTAGGACTTCACTGACAGAGGCTATATATGCGTGGCCATGTGAGAGCATTTCTAGAGGGAGAGCGGACTCTCCTCACTCTCGGCCGTACCAGGGCATTTGGAGGCGGGTATAAGCTACAATCTAAGTGTGAGGGCTAATGATACTACCCGGTTTCCCAAACCGAAATAGGTGGGAAAAAGTTTAAACTTCGGACTTAGTACTTGAATTCAAAAAGCTTTAACTACTAAGCAACCGCTTAATAAGCATATGGATTATGAAAGATGATGTTTTGGATTTTATTTCACTTTATAATGATACAGTGAGGTTGAAGAAAGATTATAAACCTTGGTTTCAAATTTATTCGTTTGCATGATGCATCAGTTATTTCGGCGAGGAACAATAGATGCAGCTACAATACTACAATCTTACATCTGTGAAGCAAATATGGATTAGTTCAGGTTACTGCTCTTTAATATATTGGTACAACAAAGTGATGGGAATTCATTTGTTCCGGAAGTTCATTTCAATAGTTGAGTGATTATAGCCTTTTCCAAAGAATTCACTCACTGAATTAACGTGACGATGGTCTTTATAAAAAAACGGATCCAGAAGAGTTCCTTAGTTGTCAGATTGATTGTAAACAACTTATGTACACAACCAACCAGAAACCTAAATGGCTTCATCCTTATTTATTTATGGCACACATAAGTTCTGGTAAAATAGGACACAAAAAACATGCCACACCATTTAAGTAATGACTTTGTAAAGGGTCGTAAAACCGATAAAAAATAAAAAAATAATACTGATTATCAGATTCAGCTCAGTCAAAAAAGAGCCGGGACTATTTAGCTAGCTTTATCGCACTTCTACGAAGAATTTTGCCTGAGCAACCCTTCGGAAACAATGATGCGAAAGCCGAGTTGCGGAATATCCTTAATCAATAACTCACAAAAGACTGACTACTACGATGAGTTGTAAATTCAGTTAGCACCATGAAGGAGCAGAAAATAGTAGAAATTGGCATAAACCACTTTGCCTTTTTCTATATGAAGATTGGTTTTATCTGAGACGCAATCACCGGCACTCAAACTACCCGAGTATAACTCTTCGGTCATTTATGCACATTGCGGCTCACCAAAAAACAAAAGGTTCAGACGGGCTCCTGAAATCTTAAAGAAGTACCTCAAGAGCCCCAAATACTGGCTGAATGAATCAAGTTTGGATAGCCTATAGATTACCACACAGTAAGACAAGGTTACCTACTTATTTGAGATCGAAAATTCCCTCTCCAGGTAACATCACCACATAATCACGCTAATGCTTCCAGAATGCCATCAACAACAGCTAGAGTGTGATAAGACTAGTAAACCGTTGTTACGTGGATTAGTAGCTAATAAACAAACTTGAATTACTAGTTGCCAGGGTGACAACTGGTAAGGTTAATCCATTGCTCCATAAACTAAACTCTTAAATTAGTGGTCTAAGTAGTTCGGAGTATCACTTCCAGCGCAAACTATGACAATCAAAGGCATGAATAACTTGATTCAGAAATATCTAATTACGAAGCATAAATATATTATTATGAACGAACATATTTCACACCCTTATAGTCGATTGCTACCTTTCTCATTATGATTTCCCTTATTACTCATGAATTTATTTAGGAAGCTCTGCTAAGTGTAAACAGCTTACAGCTGTTAAGTAGATCCCCAATATGTAAGACGAATAAACTACTCAATCAGTCATTATAGCGGATTCCGAGACAAATATGTTTTGATGAAGATTTCCTTTACCAAACACAAAACTAACAAAGCAAAGGGTAGGGGGGATATGATGCTTCCCAATCCATTCGAAAACAGATATACAGAACAGAACTCAACGGTCCAAAATGGTCAGCCAGTTGGTTGATCATTACACTCGCCCTTTAATTAAAAGATATAAATCTCCCCTACCCCACAATGGGTGTGAGTTCAACTAGGCTAACTGAGCTGCCCAAAACCAATACCAGAATTTGTGGCGAGACTAAAATGTATGGATGGAAAACGAGATTGACGATAAAAAATCTTGGGGAGAATTTCACTCATCCATATGGCCAAATAGCATTTCAGCATTAAAGACGATGTCTCTTCGTGATGAAAACTCCAGCTCTAATCCGTAACCATGACTTTGAACTCTCGATCCCAGCCTTGACTCCTCACACTAGACCATAACTTTCTTTTGACTCTAGTAGAGTGAATTTCGTTAAGATGAACTTAGCATAGATTGAATGTCGTCTATGTGTTATAGACTTACATAATCCATTAATCGGAAACCCACTAGGTTTGATGAGAGTAATCAGTGAGCTTCACTATCGCAAAATGTATTCCCTGTTATGAGGTTTGTGAATTAATGCTGGCGAACATAAGTTATTACGCTCATCTGAAAAGGTCACATCATACACGTGATTCAGACACAACTAACACTGTAAATTTTGTTATTTATCGCCACTAATAACCATCAGAATTAAACCCTTATCACACCAAAATGACTGACATAGAAAGAGAACTAGACCATAAGAACCTACCGCCAAGATCATGCGAGTCCGAGGGAACCATTAGGACCCAGATTCCAGACGCCCCGCCAAAAATGGTGGCGATCCAAGGTCTTTTGTACACGTTTCAAAATTCAAAAGTTGTAAGCAGAATAAGATAATCATTTGTTTCCTGACACCTGCATCTTGGTATTAAGAGAGCTTTCCTGATTTCGAAAACATTGTGGTGTCCTACAATATGAGTAGTTTTGTGAACACAATTAAATGTATTATAATCCCTCCGTTTATGAAATATTTTCATAATTATTTCTGCATTCAAGAAATATTATTCAAATGTATCGGTGGTGAATACATTCCGCTTGTCATCTTACTGATTCTTTCGTCGCTCTCTGGCTCTCATGTCATGTCTCTTCTGTTCTGAGTTATAGATGTGAACGAATCCTCAATATAATTAGTACTGTAAGTTTCAGATATTAATATGGACCGGATTAGTTTCAGTTGAAACATCTAGCTGAAAGCTCGCTGTCACACAACTGCACCAGATCACGAGTAGGTATGTCTTTAATTATAAAAGTAATACGTATAAAGGCGTTTTCAAACTCCGACCACTTTTGACGTCTTCAGGTTTAATTGGACACATCCTTTGATCGAAGAATAATAACATTGTCACGTGCATACTAGGCCACTGCACATTGCGTTAGTTGTTGGACTATATTTTTTGGAAGACACCTTTGGACTCAAGCTTGATTTCAACTCCAAGTATGTAGAACATTATCAATTAACTGTGTGAATACCATTTGTAAATTAATCTAGCATTAACTTTTAAGCAACATTTTTGTTAAAACATTTTATAAATTTCTTTTCGTATGTCATTGAGTTAAAAAATTCTTCCATATTGCATTCCGTGTGCAGAAAAATTGCCTTTGCTGAGATGCAAAGTTAGCACTATTTCGATGCCTTTATTGCAAAGTCACACAACATTTTTATCTGCATTACGTAATTATTGTTTTTTAATGTCACAGGTTGTAAGTAGCTGGCAAAAACCAACGAACTAACATGAATTCAAGCTATTCTGCTAGAATCCTTGTTCATGCTCTTTGAATCAAGTCTTTTATATATACAGTTTGGTTCATCATACTAAGTCGTGTGTTATCAGAATTCTCTACTTGGACACACATAGATGTTCGTAGTTGGTGAATTCAAGGAGATACTGTATGTTCACTATACTTTCATTGGTTTCCCTTACTACCCGGAAATATTATTTCAAACTATAACAGACAATTACTCATAACTTTATAAAAGTAATGATAACAAGTGACGAGTAGTTATGGTTTACGTGCCATTCGTGCATGCAAACACTGTGTTTTCCTTGTTAAATTTTAGCGACCAAATTATGTTAAAATCCTTAATTCCTATGAGTTCTTTTCATCCCTACGCTCATTTATCTATTTAATCGCAAATATATATACTTATTTTTACAGGATGATAATAATACTGATAATAAACTTCAGTTAAACATGGTGACAGTGGGGTTAAATAACCAAAAGTAATAAAAAAAATTTGAAACAAGGAAAGTTTAATAATCTTTTGATTGTTAATGGCTTAAGTATTTATCAAAAGATAGATAGGGAAATTATCATTGGGAAAGGATGGCTCAGCATGGTAACATAAAATGTTGAGATCGGGATGAAATGTAATTGGAATGATCATGGAAATAAAAACAAACCAATTGAGGGTAGAAGATTTAAGGAGAAGATGGAAGGTGAAGCAGATGGTTGTAAAGGAACAAGAGTATGAAAAAGAGAGAAAAATTTTAATACATTAAGCCCATGGTAGGAGAAGAGGTTGTATCAGTCTCTTTTGCACACACAATCCTGGTTTTTCCAGATGTATGGTTATTGTTTCGGCAATGCGAAGAAGATGCAGTCTAATTGCCTTCGGAGGACTTCTACTTACTTTGTAAATGACTTTGAACGCAGAGTCTGTCTTGATTGAGTGATCTGTGTTGAGCGCATAAAATCAACAGCATCAATAATACCGTGATTATACGGTCTGCCAAAAATACACAAACCTGGCTTACCTCTTATACCAATTCTCGATATGTCAGGATCCTCTTACACTCTAGAGCAAATTGTCTGGCAAATCTCCTAGAACCCGTTAGAAAACGCATTTGTGAACATTTTGTACGTGATACTTTTGAATTTATCGAGCAAATAAAAGAAGTGTATGTAAGTGACAAAATTATACTATCTCTGGATGTCGAATCATTATTCACAAATGTTCCAATCACAGAGGCCATGAATTTTATCTGCAAGTACATAAATAATAATCAAATGAACATTGGAATGCCGGATGCTTTTTTAAAAGAACTATTACTACGTTGCACTTGTAATGTACAATTCACATTCAACGACGTAATTTATAGACAGAAGGATGTTATAGCGGTGGGATTCCCACTTGGTCCATGACTGGTAGATTGCTTCATGGCCAGTTTAGAAAACATCCAACCCAAAACAATTATAGAAAACCTCCTTCTATATTCATTGATAAGAGCATAAGCTGAGAACACCAAAGACGCGAATAATTACAGTAGGAACGAAAACTCCATACATGAACATCGACTTCAAAGGTGATAGAGCGACATATATGTTAAAGAAAAGAATTGTAGATTCCTTAAAAAGAACATTCTTCGCAACAACGTTCTTCTCCAGCCGATCAATGTCAACCAATAATCTGAAAGCTAAATTATCGCATCTGACCAGCTCAATATACATTTACCAATTTACCTACACCTATGGAGCTAGGTATATGAGTCGTTCGATACGTACTTTATCCAAAAGAATTCAAGAACATTGTCCGGTGTTGTAAGATCCATTTTGAATGTTTTGTGTGCAAAAATCCCTCCATGTATACACTTGCAGTTTATTCTTATTGATACCTTTATTTGTACATTTTTGTTAGTCTTTATCATTCCATTTGAGTTGATAGCATTTGTATTTTACCATAGTTTATATTTTTATTACGCTTTCACTAAGCTTCCATGTTTCCTGAACTGCCTCCATGTTGTTTTATTTGATACTTATTCTTGGCCGCAGCCATATTGGTTTGTTCCTCCCCTTGGTTGTGTTGCGTATATTGACGGGAATTATGCATTTTTGATTGTGAATTGAAGCACTCTTCCAGAGTTGGAAACACTGTGTTATAAAGCAACAGAATATTATCTTTGGAACGAATCTGTGCGTGATCTATCCAGACAGGATAGAACAGCATTTATTTGTTGCTATTGATTTGACTAATTGAACTATTATTGGTTTGATAGCTGGGAGGTTATATTTGTTTAGGTAACAATGTACATTTAAATTTATGATGAATAATAGAACCGTCATTTTACCCGATTACTTTGTTTTGGTTTCAAACGGGCAAGGGCGCGTATATAACCCACCTAAACAGCTATTCTTCAGTCCAAACCACGGTTTGGATTTTACAAGCCTGGCTAAAAAGAGGAGGCAACGACTCAATAAGAAGTTCTATAATCGAACACCTTGCGAATACAGGTCACTCAATCAAGACAGACTCTGCGTTCAAATTCACTTACAAAGTAAGTAGAAGTCCTCCGAAGGCAATTAGACTGCATCTTCTTCGCATTGCCGAAACAATAACCATACATCTGGAAAAACCAGGATTGTGTGTGCAAAAGAGACTGATACAACCTCTTCTCCTACCATGGGCTTAATGTATTAAAATTTTTCTCTCTTTTTCATACTCTTGTTCCTTTACAACCATCTGCTTCACCTTCCATCTTCTCCTTAAATCTTCTACCCTCAATTGGTTTGTTTTTATTTCCATGATCATTCCAATTACATTTCATCCCGATCTCAACATTTTATGTTACCATGCTGAGCCATCCTTTCCCAATGATAATTTCCCTATCTATCTTTTGATAAATACTTAAGCCATTAACAATCAAAAGATTATTAAACTTTCCTTGTTTCAAATTTTTTTTATTACTTTTGGTTATTTAACCCCACTGTCACCATGTTTAACTGAAGTTTATTATCAGTATTATTATCATCCTGTAAAAATAAGTATATATGTTTGCGATTTTACAGCTTTGAAAATGAATTCGCCGAACTAATCTTTCTTATTTAACATTTATTTATTCTCGGCTTGTTTTACTTAACCTGTCTAAATACACTTGCTTAGCGAAAGAAAGAAAATACTACAGAACTATCATACCTTAAATTTTCCTTCATAAATGACTCGAACCAATCAGTCATTAACACCTATTCTGCGTTTCGCCATTTTTGTTTTCCTTTTTTTTTCTGCATCATCGTGATTTACTATCAAAAGCACAAATGGAAAATTTAACTTCATTACATGGCCTAATTATTATTGTCGATATTACGGAATGGTTCACAGTTGTTTGCGCTAGAAACATGTCGAATTTGTTATCCAGAGAATACCATCAAGATGTGTCAAATAATATAAAGTTTATGTTTTTAATTGAATGATTAGGATTTAGTTCTCATTTTAAACAACTGTGAACCTTACTTGCGTTAATTCTGTACCACAAGTTTTTGTCGCAACTCCATTTTAATGAAGCGCTTCAGCCTTTATATTTAATTTTCGTATTTCCCTAAGATTATTGATATTCTTATGTACACAAATGTATTCGTGTTTCTATAGCTAGTGTGTCTCGCAACGTACTGAAAATGCCATAGGTATTCGGAGTTTGACAACGCTTTAACCAGTAACCCCTTCTAATGTGGTCAGCACCCAATGTCGAAAACTTGAAGAGCTATTTATTTTGGGGATTTATTTACCGCTACAAATCACCCCACCTAATGGGGTAGTGATGACCCTAAGACGTGGCCAGCCAGAAGTTTAAACCCAACGAGTTTTTCGTTGGTAAACACCCTTCTGATAGCTTGCTAGGTTTAGCAGCGTCTGGTCGTCTTTCCTTACTATAAGTGACCATGATGTACAATATAGTAAAAAAAGAAAAAGGTACAATGAAGATTTTCGTTTCTCGCAACTTCATCGTTCTTTTTATCGCTTTTTCCA